CTGCGGTGCGGAGCAACAGGACCATCAGACCCCGGGGGCTCAAGGCGGTATTTTGGTTCCCGCCTTTGCCTCGCGCCGGGAGGGGGGTGGGGGGGGCGAGAGCGATGGCTGCGGGAGCAGGAGGAGGCCACGGCACGGGTGCAGCGAGGGCCATTGGTCCCCGCTGTAATGCGGGGTGGGAAGAAAGCAAGCCGCGGTGTGGTGGCCGCATAGACCAAGAAGCCGGTGTGGGGGGCGAGAGCTGAGGACACCGCCTGTGGGAGGGGGAAGCGGGTCTGCTGCGGGCCGGCGGCTCGGGCCTCATGCAGCCTCAGGCCCCGCCTGTCCGGCCGTGGCGCCCGCGGGAGCAGGGGGCTCGCAGGCCTCCACCTGCAGTGGGGGAGTAGGCCCGCAGGGGCAGGGCCCTGTCTCAGGAAGACCCCAGGGTCGGGCGGGCAGGACGGGCAGGACAGAGGCCTTGGGGGCCTGGAACCCCTGGAGGGGACGTCCCGGGGCCCTGGGCACTGTGACCCACCTCAGATGGACTTTAAAGCAAAGGGGTTGACCGGTGTCTAGACGCTGGATATTTGACATCCCAGTGAGTCCTGACCCACATGCACCTGTGAGCGTGTGGGTTTGCACATGCGTAACTGCGTGTATTGACGCCGACGTGTTAGACTGTTGGGGTGCCCAGTTCAGGTGCGCGGCGGGTTAGGGGAGCGCGAGAGGGAGGGCAGCACGGCAGGGCCCTGAAAGTCATTTTCAGGCAGAGTAGCAGAGCGGGGGGCTCCTTCCTGTGCTCCCACCTGTCTCCTTTACCCTGAGAGCCCGTCCTCCTGCCTGAGACCCTGGCTCCTTTCAAGCCCTCGGCATCTCCGGAGAAGGTGCAGGATGGACTCTGGAAGCTTCCATGGGGCCGTGGTGTCCACAGATCCGCTGAACCCTGCAGCGTGTGCAGCCATGTGCCACGTCGTTCTCCAAACCTACAGCTGCTGGACGGAGCAGGTGCCCCCAGAAAGGGACTGGTCCCTGTGAGTGACTGCACTTCTCCAGTGTGTCCGGCCTGGGACAGTGGGTCCCGTGTCCCTCAGTCACTCCTGGCCCCCAGGATGAGCACGCTGGAGCAGGGAGACGCCACCTCTGGTCCAGAAAGACAGCTGCACCCACCCGAAAACGCAACCCACTTAGGCCATATGGTGCCTAATAAACAGCTAAGGCCAGTTCCTAAACAAATATCCTAATAAAAGGAAAACCAGCCACTGTGTAGGAACAAAGGTGTCATCAAAGTGTAATTTTCTATCCCAATAAACATCTTTGAATTAATGCCTATTCCACTAATTATGAAGGTTTTATTAGTGTTCTCCTTGATTAATAAAGCACACAGCACAGATCACATGAAATATTACTGCCGTTTCCCCACGGAGAGCAACAGTGAGAAAGACAGCTGACAGAGCAGAGGGCATGCACACTGGCTCTTTGCAAGTATGAAGGTGATTTTCGAAGAAACATACAGCCTCCTATACCCAAGCCTGGGGCCCCAGCTGGGGGAGACCCTAAGCCCGCCCCCCCCGGTGCAGGCTGGGCCCAGCGTGGGGAGGAGCACGGTGGCCTGCGGCCTTCCCCTGAGACGCTTGAGAAGCAGATGCTCCCGCCAGCCGTGGAGACAGCCGCGAGGGACACGGTGCGGATGCTGCGCGCAAGGGCGCCCCGAGCCCTGGCTGCAGGACGTGGCCACCGGCGGGCGCGGTGGCAAGTGGACTCGGTGTCAGCGGACAGGGCTGTGCCAAGCCCCATGACCGCGGGCCTTCGGAGGGGGAGGGAAAACTGCCTGGCCCTGCCCAGCCCGGCCGCCGGTGAGATGGCACCGAGCGGGTCTGGCCAGTAAGGGCAGGATGCTGCTGAGTGTGGGAGGTGCGGGTGAGGGTGGAATAGAGCTGACCGTGGCACACGGGGGCCAGGCAGTGACCCAGCGCCCTCACGCTCCCAGGACTTTATCGACCAGCAGGTGTGCATGTGAGCACACGCGTGCGTGTTTCCAAGGATTTGCGCTGACCCCGGTTCCAATACCCTGAACACAGATTTGGGGTCTCGCTGTGAAGAGAGGCATTGTGTGATCTTGAATCACTCAGGTTATAGAATTGCCGTGCACAGCGCTTCCGCTTTCTTCCTGTAAGATTACATCTAACAGTTTTTATTGAAAAAAAAAACAGAGTCTCAAGCAATAATTTCATAAAAATGCATCCCTGAATCCCTTGCCGGTGAAGCCCACAGTGTTGGAAGGGGATTAGAACCACCCCAGACTCGGTCTCTGGAGGCGATGGGGGAGGGTGGGCGGGGGTGAGTTCAGAGCTCCCATAAGGTGGGTGACTGACCCCTCACCGTGCCCTGCTTGCTTCCCCGCTGAGCTCGCTGCCACCTGGTGAGGGTCCAGGGGGGTGCGCACGTATTTTTCTCTTTGGTCCCCCAACTGCCCCAGTCTTCCAAGTGATCTTGAAGCCCCTCAGGACCAGGGGCCACAGCCCCTCTGTCAGAGTACACACTTGGTGCCCCACTACGTGCTGGGTGTTGTCAGGGGGACAAAGCCCTCCTGGTGACTGGGAGATGCACATCCCAAGTCAGTCCAGGAGGGAGGGCCATGGTGGTAACAAGGACCTCCAGCAGGTGTCCGCGGCCACGGGGGCTGGGACCCGGGGTCCCAGCAAGTCCTGCAGGGTCGCACTGGGGGGGGGGAACGCTGGCACCACACGAGCGCCCCTGTGTTGTGGGGCAAAGACTCTGCAGGGGGTCTTGCACCGATTCTGTTTCCTTCCAGAATGCTGGCTCCACCCCGTCTCAGAACGTCTCCAGGGGTCTTCAGCCCGGTTGTCAGGTTACGGCTGGTGCCTCAGCGATTCCCAGCCTGCTGCTGAACCCAGGTTCTTACCTCAGCTGGTCCCACGTGCACATGTCTTCCCCAGTTTCTAAATAATCGTTCCCTTTGGATTTCACTTCCAGAAGCTGTGTTGGGGGCCCCTGGGGGGGCTCAGTCAGTTCAGCGTTCCACTCTTGGTTTCTGCTCAGGTCCTGATGTCAGGGTCGTGAGATCGAGTCCCGCAAGGAGCTCTGCACTCTGCGGGGAGTCTGTTTGAAGTCCTCTCCCTCTCCCTCTGCCCCTCCCCCCCACTCAAATAAATAAATAAGTAGATAAATCTTTAAAAAATAAGTTGCTTTGGGTTCTTTTTCCAATCTGCTTCCTTTCACCCACACTGTTCTTTTTATATGCCGTTTGGAATGTTCAAACTCATTTTATTGCCTTTTTGTATTGTTGTGTTGTCTGCATTTCTCCCCGTTTCGGACGTCTCTGCCCTGCTGTGATCCTCTTCCCCCTGTGCTTTGTGGTTGTTTATGGGGAGCTAATCCAGTCCTCTGGGGCGCATCCTTCTGGGGACTTTGGTGCTCCACCCGAGTGGTTTTGCCTCCGCTGATGCTCGGCACCGGAGGACTCCGCTGGGCTCATATTTTAACCTTACTTGTTTGGTTTGGGTTTCCTGTGCCGTGCGGGATGGGCGGACTGGCCCCCGCCCCCGTCTCCAGGCACCTTTCTTTCCCAGCAGGACAGCTGGGCTGGCCGGTCTCCAGACCCCTCCCGTCGTTGCTGGGCTCCGGGCAGGGATGCGCTGCAGGCACTTCTACCAACAGGCAGGGATTTTATGGACTGGTTGCTAAAATCAGCCGCTATTAGGAACCACCCTGTATGAAACGAGAACTTCTGTTAACACACAGGTGGCCACTTCCTAGTTCCTTTACTCCCTTTGCGCCCCCATCCCCAGCAGCTGCGTTCGTCCGGGTCCCTTCCCGGGCACTCACCGCCCTTCCCTCGTTGAAGTCACTCTTCGTGGGGTATATGCATCCCAGGAATCAGCAGGTGAGTGACGGAGAAGACGTGACCGAAAGTGGGCGGTGTGGAAGGCTGCGGCGAGCATTCTGCGGGAAGCCGTTGGCTCCGTGGCCCTGACGATGAAGAGGACTGGCTTTGTCACCACCGTGTGCTGGCTGAGGGCACATCTCAGCGCATTTCTGCATGTCCACGGTTGCAGAGAGAGCCGGTTCTGGACATTTCCAGCACACCACCTCCCGGGGCCCCCTGTGCTGGGTCAGAGCAGCCTGCTCAGAACCGGCCCCCAGCCCTTGTGCGGCTCGGTGTCCACACTCGCCTACACCGGCCATGGGCTCCCTCTTTGCCCTCTCCTTAGAGCTGGCATGCACCGTATGTTTCCAGCACATGTTGTCCAGCATTCCTAAATACTCATGGTGGGAGGGGAACCTTTTCATGGCTTTGGGGTCTGCCATGTGCACGTTCTGACATGTGCTTTTCATGAGAAGCCGCCCCGTGTGATGCCTCGGGGACCCCCAACGGCAGTAACTCACAGCAGTGGGACGCGCAATCCGCGGATGCCCAGGCAGGGTTTGAACGTGAGGCCGACTCCGGAAAGGGGAGTCAGAGACGGATGTAACTGGGTGTCCACCCAACGGGGCCTGGGGCTGATCTCTCGAGAAACGCACACCAGCGCTTGGGTGGACACGGAGCCCCTCAAGCTGACGGGCCCTGTGCGTGGTTCCCTACTCCCATGACAAACTGACTCCACACGCAGCCCCACGTCACTGGGGTCGCTGAGGCAGTATAGGACACGCCTGTCCCTGTGCCGCCGCCTTGATGTGCCAGGATGGGCGTTGGGCCGTGGGGGGTGGAGCCCGAGGCCCGGGAAGGAAGGCTCATCCGCCGCTAGCCCTGTGCTCACACTGCACAGATGGGCATGAGAGGCTGGGGGGACACTCTGCACAGAACACGGCCCTGGCTGCTTCCGGAGATCCTGCAATCAGTCTTTGAGGAAGGAAAGCTCGGGGATGCTCTGGCCTTTCGTGCACAGCTATCCCTGCAAAGGGGGAATTCTCGGAAAGGCTCCCACCTGCTCCCCCACCTCCGGGAGCCAAGGATGGGCAGGGAACGTTGCTCTATCCTCCCCAAATAAAGACCATTCGAATGTGAAATCAAAAGTTTAATCTGACACAATTAAATATATTTATATATCTCACACTGGAGGATTTCTTTTGAAACATAAGAAGTTAGAAATTACAAGTAGGTATACGCTTCCTATATTCAGATAAATTAGTTCCTATTCATTATTTAGATTCCAGATGGGGAGAAACAACTCTGGCAAAAAATTATAGATCTATTAGAGCAGATGACATGACAGGACCACTTAGAGACACAAACAGTATTTGGCATCTTCCTCCCCAGTCACAGGCCGTTCTCCCGATGCTACTGGTTTCTGGGTTGCAGTGTCTACTTAGGCGGGAAGAATGTGTGCAGTAAGCGGGACGTGGAAAGGTACAGGGGATGTATTCACACCTAATCCTAAGATGAAAGCTGTAGCGCACAGAGCGGTCTGCATGCCTTCTTAGAACCCACCGTTCTGAGTCCGGCGAAATGAGCTCCTCTGTCGGGGGCTGGGGGGGGTGGCAAACCCGAATCGCCTCTAGACGCTTGTGTCTGAGCGAGTCACACAGTGTCTGACCGAGGTGACCCTGGGAGGGGGCGGGGCCCAGGAAACGCTGCCATTTCTGCCTTTCTCCCTGGTGCCAGGATCTCACCCAGTAAAGCCAACAATGTATGGCACCCTGCATCCCCTTCTGGGAACGGGGTACCCAGGGTCTGCCCTGGATGCCGGCAGGGCCCAGGACATCCCCCAAGAGGGGAGCACAGGAGCCCGCCGGGGGCTCGTGTGCTCCTTGGGGACCCCGGAGCTTGTTACCTGCAGGTTGGTTCCCTGGCTCTGGTTACCCCTAAGGGAAGAGTTTATTAACAGCATCTGCTTTTGCAATGTGTAAATCTGTATTTAAAGTTAAAAATGCGTCTCCAGACGGGTTGCGGATGGGAGGCCTTGCCTGGGGCGGCTGGCCTGGGACACGTGTGCCCCGAGGCCCCTGCCCTTCTGTGGGGGGTGGGCGGTGGAGATGGGCTGTCCACAGTGCCGGGGGCAGGTGTCGGCCAGCCCGCACGGGAACGGAGGGAAGATGCAGGGTCGATGCTGTTATTTCCCCCAAAGCTGCAGAATGGTAAGTTTGTTGCTCTAACTCCTGAACAAGCCGGGGGGGTGGTTCCTGCCGGTGATGAGCCGTCGTAAAGACAAATGCCAAATGCTTGTGGTGCCCTTCCCGCTTCCCCGGGTCCCCTCCCTGCAGAGCTGGCCCATCCTTCAGAGTTACGGCCCACAGGTCGGCTCTCTTCGTGGAGATGGTGCGGAGCACACCACCTACAGCGTCGTTGTATGGCACTGTTTGCAATTAAGGATGTGAATGTGTGCTTTAAGGAAAAGTGTTTTCCTTTCAAGGAAGTGAAAACAGATAAAGTGATTGTCCTTGTGACTGGACGATCCCCCAAATCTCCCCTTACTATGACTTGGTTGAACACAAATGCACATTGTAACCGCTGGACCGCACTGACGAGGCAGGGACGCTGAAGACACGCAACTAAGTGGCATCGCAATTCCCAGCGACCGTCGACAGTCGTGACGCCGGCCCCTCCCAGCCTTGGGCTGCGCGCTCGCGCTCACTGCGGGAGGGCCCTGAGGATGGCGTTCACCTCCTCCGCCACGGCCGTCAGCGCAAACTCGAACTGCTCCTGGAGGGACGAGAAAGCGAATCAGAGGTGAGCGGGACCACGTTCCTCTCGACTCCGGCCTTTAGCTCTGCTGTGTCATTTTGCAGAAGGAATTGGTTCAGGAAAAGGAAGAAAGGTCGCACATCTCCGCAGAGAGGATGGTGGTGTGCAAGATGAGACCCCATGTTGATGGTGATTAGAATTTCTCACGTGGGAAGGTCTCATCTTTTATCACTGGGAGGAGCTGCTAAACCCGCAACTGCACGAGGATGGCGGAGTGTACGGCCCCCGGGGCGGGCCAGAGCTGACGCAGACACCAGCTGCCCTGAGCTCCAGCCCCCACACCAGCTGCGTGCTGACCTGCCATGGAGCCAGCCACATGGCCTCCCCTCAGAAAGGCCGAGGGGTAGTGGCCTCGCTGTCGTGGGCATCGCCCCAGCGTCCAGCCCGGCCCTTCCCCGTCGCACCTGCCAGGAAACCCCGCCTCATCCACAATGTGTCCAGCCTTAGACGAGCGTGCCCATATGTGCTCCTAGTCGTAGGCACACGCTGGACGGGGCACATGCAAAACCTGCCAAGACCGGGAGGTAGAAACGAGGGCGGTGTCAGGACTGTTCCCCTCTCTGGAAGGGGAGGGCTCAGCAGACGGGAACAAAGCCCACCCCTCCACGCGGGTCAAGGCCAGTCCCCTGCACACGTCCTTGCCACATGATGCCCCCGACACTGCAGAGAAACTCTGAAGTGGGCGTTGGGCCCCTCCTAGTCATACCAGAGAAGTCACCGGAATAATAAGTGATGCACACTATCACCTACTGAGAAGCCCTTTGGATGGCTTCAATGCTTGATAACCCGAGTGGCAGGGCAGTTTCAAATCCAAAAATCATGGTTAAAACCCACTTTGAATGCCCAGTAAGGAGCAGAAACAACAGAAAGGCAGGACAATTTAACCCTCACTTTGGGGCCAAAGACCGTCCCTTGGTGTTCTCTCTCTATTGGCGTTGAAGGAATGACCTGCGTGAACCAACATGGTGTCTTTGCTAGTGGACACAGCCTCCTGATGCCCATTCTGGAAACTGCCGTCAAAGGCATGCCCAGTCGATTTTACCCGTGCCCAGCAGCGTCCCTCCTCACGCTCGAAGGCCCCGGAAGAGGGGCCTCTGGCTGTCACCAGTGGCGGGAAGCTATCTCCTGTCGCTGGCTCTCCGGCTAACAGCTTGTTCAAGGGGACGTGTCGTGGGGAGGATCCAGGTTTATGACGCATGAACAGCCACCCCAGACCATTTCTTCCCCAAACGCTGGCTTGCCAATGGGGAGACCAAGGTTTCATGATGACTTGAAATGTGAAAAAATGAAAGGAGACTCTTTGGAACTCTCATGTCACGTGTCATGTGGCTGCTTACAGCTTTTGACACGCTGACAATCCATCCCAAGACATAGCGCCGACAGGGAAGTGGGCAAGTTCACACACTTGGGATCCTCCGTAGCCATCACGAGTATCTGGTAGGGGGGCAAACAGGGTCCAGTGAGGACAGCAGACTGCAGACGTGCACCTGTGCCTCGACTAGCCTCATCCAGACACCCTGTGTTCGTTGCACATGTGACGCGTCGACAGAGGCGTGGCTTAGATGGTGGCAGTGTGCTCGGTGGCCCCGGGAGCCGAGGGCCTGCAGGACGCCGGCGGGCTTCACGGCGCTGGGCCCTGCCACGGGAGGCTCTGGGAGCACCGGCGGGCAGGAGACGGGGGCCTCCTGGGACGAGGGACCCTTGGCAGAGGCGTGCCGTGCCCCTCGGGGCTGGTCGGCAATGAGACGGGGCTTGTCAGCCGCCCTGCTCCTTCCCCGAGAAGTAGCCCCGAGTGGCGGCGCCGACGCGCGCTCCGGTCTCCGCCGTGGGTGGAGGCCGGGCGCACACCCAGTCTCAGGCACCACCTCCACTGACAGGCCCGAGTCGGCCCCTCAGAAGTCCGGGGAGCCCAGCAGACAAGCTGGGCAGACACAGCACCTGACTCGCTTTTGCTGTGGCGTCTGTGAGGGTCAGTGCAGGTGTTCGGGCTGCGTGTGTGTGTGTGTGTTTGCATTTATAGTCACACTCAGATTCGTGTTTGCAATCCTTGTGGCTCGCACAAAGGACTGGGTGGGCCCACACAACAGTGCCATGATACTTGCATTCCCGAATTCAAAGGGAGTCATAGCGAATGGCTGTCCCAGGAGCTGTTACCCTCCGTGGAGCGCCAGCGACCCCTCCAGGGCAGCACTTCCCCGCATCCCCCTCACGGTGGGGGCAGGACGGAGTGCTCTCCGTGCCCTTGGCTCAGCTGTTCTTCACAGAGATCAGCCCTGGCTCCATCCTTGACATATGATACCAGAGCAGGTGAGGGACAGGGTGCATGCATGTGCATATGTGTGCACACACATGTATGTGCGCCACGTGTATGCACGAGTGCATATGCACACATGTATGTATGAGTGTGTGCGTGTGTGCACGTGAGCGTATCCGTGCACAGTGCATGCATGAGTGCACACATGTGTACACGTGAGCGAGCATGTGTGCACACGTGTGTGCACACGAATGAGCACGTGTGTGCACAGGGGCATGTGTACACACGAGTGCCTATTGCGCACATGTGTATGCATGAGTGCGCGTGGTGTGCATACATGTATGTGTGCACAGGTGTACATTTATACTCATGCACACACGTGGGTATGCACACATGCATGCGTGCACACGTGTACGTTCATAGGTGTGCGCACACATAGGTATGCACGCATGCATGTGTGTACATGCATGCATGCGTGTGAACGGGGGAGATAGAGACACAGAGGCTGAGGGGAACAATCTCAAGGTGCTGAGAGGGTTCTGATGGAGCAGGACATGGGTCGGGAGGCCCGGGGCTGTGAACTGGATTACACTTAATTCAATCAGTCCTTGTCTCTCCAGACCCCGAGCAAGATAGGGAGCCGGGCTTGCGGAGCAGAACAAGGATAGGGTGAAGCCCAAACGCAGAGACGAGCCGGGAGGGGCAGGAGGCGCGGTACCATGTGTGAACACCGTGCGCACCCGCCGGGCCAACTGACATCACTACTTCCTGGGGACACACGGGTCAGTCGGCTTTCGAAGTGAGCGTCGAAGAGAAAGTGTCGTTACGGAGAGCGTTCAGGCTTTTGGTTAAGGAGGCACCTTCACGAGATGAAGGGGACGGAGGGGGAGAGTCTGTTCCATGACACGCGTGGAGGAGGAGACATCGCTCACCTTGTGAAGTGTGTTGTTTCACCTACATCCTGCGATTTCATCTCCCTTCCTAGAACGAGTGTTCTGTTGCACTGACACACATGCGGTGGTGGGGGCTGGGTGACATCTCCTTCTGCTCGGGTCTCCCGGGCCGTAACCCCGTGCTGCCGCTCGCTTCTCAGCGCGTCCCCGCGGCCGGCGCCAGCTCCCCGGCCACGGGCCGTGGCTTCCCTTCCTCTCCTCAGGCAGACGCACGGCAGGTGTCTGTGCTTCGTTTGACCGAGGGTTTGTTTCCAGGTGGAAAACCAGCTATCGGGGGCTTTTTTGAACATAAAGATGGAGTTGTGCGGTCAGGCTGTGTGCTGGGGGTCGGGGGGCTCCGTCCCCGGTCTGTTTTGTGTCTTCGGCTCACGTGGCGCAACCTGACTATATGGGTTTGAACAGCCCACAGGTGACCTTCTCTTGGCTTCTGTGGAAGAGTATTCAGATCGTATGGCACTATTTTTTTCCCACAGAAATTTTCCTTTTGTTAAACTGAACTTCAGGGGAAGTTCCATTTCACGGAGTAATGTTGGGCAAAGCCGTCAAATTAAGACAGAATGGTGGCTTTGATGTGCTTATTTCTTTATACCTTGAAATTCTAGGAATTGCATTTACATACACACTTCCAGACAACTTTTGAACCCCACCCGAAGGAAGAGGGTCAATTCCTGCCGGGAAGCTACATGAGGCAAATTCTCTGCTCTCTGGATGCTTCATCTCCCTTTCTGGCGGGGCCTGGGGGCTGCTCCCTGGGCCTCAGGAACTTGTGCCATGAGGGCCGAATGGTTTTTGCACTGTGTTATGCACCGTCCCCACGGTTTCGCCCAGATCCACCGTGGAGTCTGTGTTTTGGGTGTCCTTGTACCGTCTGGGGTGTCCGGGGTGGAGGAGGCCTGCCTGGGAGGTACCCAGGTTCAGGGAGCGAAGAAGTGAGTCTTGAATTGATGATTTCCTGCAGGTTATCTGTGCAGTAGGAGACGGCGCGATGCAGCATCAAGATTTAGGCAGAGACAGAATCCGCTTTTCGTTCCTGGTTATAAACTGACGCTGCTCACCAGGCCCGGTTCTCAGGCCTCCGAGCCTCCTCCACGGCTTCTGGTGGCCCCGTGGGGCCAGACCATCCAGGGACAGCGCACTGACCTGCAGTGCCGTGGCCCTCACGAGGCCACCACCAAGTGGCATGGTCGGGCCAGTGGGATGGACCTTCCCCAGGCACAAAACCTGCGGGTTATTTGTCACCTGCTGACATCATGATAAAGCACAACAACAAAGAGACGTGAACAGTACCAAATCTCTCCCCCAAGACACTGCTCATTACCAAGAAGAATCACCTGGCGGACACCCCCTGAGCCGAGTGACCGAAGCTCACCTCCCTAGAAAGGAGATCAACCGGGGTCACGTGCCTCCTTCTGGGACGGTCCTGCCCAAGATGCACAACCAGAACCCATCACAGGAACGTCAGACAAACCCAAGCAAGGGACAGTCTATGAAAACCAAGCCACACCTGTCAGTTCTCTTTTGAAGACCTCTCAAGGCCACCGAGCTGTCCCATTAGTCGAGATGTGGGAGATACGGCGACTGAGTGCTCAGGGGTGGTCTTGCTCCAGGGAAAGGTCACTGGGGACATGGATGAGCTAGGACAAGGTCTGCACCTGAGTAAATGGCTCATACTGATGCTGGTTCTGGCCGTGGTCACCTGTGGTTACATAAGTGCTAGCAGTGGGAACCTAGTGAGGGCACGTGGGAAGGATCTGTATTATTTCTGCACGTGTTTTGCAGGTCTGAAATAATTTCAAAACTTCAGATAAAAAAAAAAACCCTAGGAAAACAAAGTGTGCCATGATTGATAAGCTTCCTTCACGCTAATCAAATGCGATTCTCGTGACCCGCATGCATGCTACAGGGGGACGGGGTGATCGCCCGGTGCCGGTGACAGCCCTTCGGGGCCGAGCGAGCACAGGGCGGGCTGCTTGTCCCACTGGCTCTGCTCGCACCCCCAGGTGCCGGAGCCTGGGTGGAGGTCACGGGCTGGGGCAGGCGCGGCTGCCGGGGGGAAGGGCTCGGCCGGAGCAGTTCTTCATTCTTTACGAGGCTTCTTGTGACTTTGCTTAGGATGGATTGTGGTTCTGTAAGAGACTGAAGTTAAATTTGCCTCGGTGCTTGGGGTTGACTTTGGCCATCAAGAACCAGCCCGGTGACTGTTAAGGTATTTTAGGAAATGGTCTTCCGGTTCAAAGGGTGCTCAGCTTAGCTTCCCGAGGTGCGTGGCTTCATTCTCGACAGAGAGCGTGGGGTGTAGCTGTCTTCTCTCATCCAGCTCAGACCCTGCGTGACGTGTGTCTGCTCATGGTAACATTCAGACGGAAAGGGGGCTGGGGGCTACTGGCACTTTCCGGGGGGAGCAGTGAGACCCCGGGAGGCGGGGTAAGCTCCCTGGGGCCCCAGAACCGTCACCACCAGGCACAAAGCACGGTCCTCGGGCCCTTGGGTCAGCCCCACTTCATAGGAGTGCTTTTTACAACCTACAGTCCTCTTAGGCATAAGGAAGTAATTCTGCAAGTGCGTCTTTTAGTGATTTTGGCCTTTTGTCTAGGTGCTAATAGCGCTGGGGTGTCAGGACTACCTTGAGAAAGGGAAGATTCTGTATTTTATGACTTCAGTACCTTTATGGAACAGATGTGCGGGAGCTTTCGTGGTCGTTGGACACAGATACTTCCGAGTGCTAAAGGAACATCATGTTAAGCCCATTTCCAGCTCTGGTTAACCCAAAGCCAACCAGCAATCTTGGGTTTACTCTTGTTGCAAACATGGCCTTCTCAGTAAGTATGCAAATAAGCTATTTTGAGGTGTTTGAGGACCTGAGTACACCCGGGGACATCTGATGACCACACAACAGAGCTGTGGTTCTGTGGGCCAGAAATAGGGGGGTCTGGCAGAATGTTAGTGGATCTAGACCATTCCCCAGCAAGGGTGCTGGGGTTTGTCACTGACCTCTTTTTTTAAGATTCCCAAGCGAGTGTGAAGACCAATGTGGCTCAGTCCCATGACCCCGAGATCATGACCTGAGCCGAAACCAGGAGTCAGACGCTTAACCGACTGAGCCACCCAGGCACCCCTATCATGGCGCTCTTTTTGTAAAAATGTAATGCTCTCCCCCTTCCCCAAATCTGGTGGGGAGAGGGCTCCAAAGACTGGAGATCCAACTGCATCTGTTTTTGCTGAAATGCGGGTGGTTGCTGGAACCATGGGCCGCCCTCCTGGGAGGGGCCTTTCACTCCCGCCCGGGACCTGCGTGGAAGACGCTCGGTCCCCTTCTCCTCTCTCCTTGCTGGGAAACACCTGCAGAAAGACACCCCTGTCGCCCCCACCATCCCCGAGGACTGGCCGACAGTACCTTTGTCTGGACCATGCCCGGTCTCTGGTCCCTCAAGTGCTCCAGGGTCGCGGCGATGTCAATCTCCTTAGCGCCTGCAACAAACAACACACACAGATCGGGCCGGGTTCAGACACAAGATGACCCGCGCTCGGCTGTCCCTCGCCTGCGTCAGGCTCCCTTCAGGCTGAGAGGCCAATTCAAAATGATTACGCTCATCCCTCAGCAGGCCTGGTGGGCACATGCCATGTCCGTGTTCGTCTAGAAAAACAAGGCGTGCGGTTTTCGTGAGCATTCATTCAGGAACGCGGGGCTGAGACATGCTGTCAGATGCCCATCCAGGTACTTAAAACAGTCATTGCTATTAGAGACGACAACTTGATGATTTGTGTGTGTGTGTGGGGGGGCGGATTTAAAAGAATGTTTTAGAAATGGGAAGCATATAAGCTTTAATTTCAATCGTGTAGAATTTTTTTATTTCGAGTAATGAGAAATGAGACTAATAAATCTTTTCCATCTTATATTGGCTTTTAAAGATGGAGCTCCCAGTGAGGGTTCCAAATGTTAAGAAAAGGTAGAGATGCCCTTGTGTGTGTTCACTGCAGAGTTTCACCGAGAGACCCCTCCCCACAGACAGCATCTCATTGCAGGTGATCCGGGCTTCACAGAAATAATACTATTTGGGTTTGAAACTTTAACCTTATCATTAATTCAACATGTGTTCTTGTTTTTCTATTTCTAGTAGACAGAGAATGGTGCTGGGTCCCAAGCCCACAAGTTTCTTACAGTTTAGGGAGCCAAGACGCGTCCGCCAACATGAAAATGCAAAATGTAGGAACTGGGAGCAGGTGGTCGCCCCCGAGGTGGACTGGGACCCACGTGCCAAACTAGGTGCCATGTTCCGAGCATTATCTCAGCTCGTTACCAGAACACAGTGGAATGGGAGCTGTAGAGGAGACCGAGGCTTATCCCTGTGGAACGGCCTGTCTCTGGTCACACAGAGCAGGTGGCCACGACCGTCGGCAACCAGCCCACACCAGGCAGAGGGGCGAGAGGCCCTGACTGGCCCTTCTCTGTCTGTACAACCTAAGTGAGCACATTGTTCCCCTCGGGCACAGAACCGGGACAGTGAACTTGGAAATTTCTAAGGTGGTTGTAATTTTTCAAGTCCTAGGGTTCTGGGGCTTATCCGGTGGGCTCCTGAGCACCCAGTGATGTTTTCCAAGCACAGCAGGTTGAGACGGGCAGAGAGGGAGAGAGGTGGGCAGGGGAGGTCCTGGGAGGAAACACATCCCAACCAAACGTATCTGCACAAATAAAGGGGAATCAGCAGGAAGGACAGATGATCTGGCACCATGGCCCCAGGGCGGAGGGGCACCCCCGTGCCCTCACTCTCCACCCTCATCCTTGAGCAGACAGGATGGGAGTGCTCGCATCTCTTGAGGCTGGGGGGACAGCACTCAGCACGTCGCGGGCTCACAGTGAATGAGGGGGCCTTATAGGCAGTAAGCCGGCAGTCCTTCCAGATACAGAATACCATCCTACTGGGTATGGGAACACCACGAGTTTCCCCAAGTGTTAAATTAGGGCCTTCATAGGAAGGAGAAGAAATCCCCCTCTTGACGGCTAGACGGTCCCCCAGGGAGCTCGACAGCTGGGGTCCGCTGTGAAAGTCATTCAAGGAAAAGACAGGGGTCAATTTCGGGACATGCTCCTCTTCAGGTGTGGATGAGGCCACAATAAATACAATTTGTTTTAAAGGGAGCCCATGATTCTCTGTTCTGTCCCGTGGATCTATGTGTCTGTTTTTGTGCCGTTACCAGACTGGCTTGATGATCACAGCTTTGTAATAGAGCTTGAAGTTCGGAATCATCTTTTTCTTTTCTTTTCTTTTTTAAAATATTTTGTTTATTTATTTGTCAGAGAGAGAGAGGGTGTGCACAAGCAGGGGGAGAGGCAGGCAGAGGGAGAAGAAGGCTCCCTGCTGGGCAGGGAGCCCGATGTGGGACTCGATCCCAGGACCTGAGCCAAAGGCAGAGCTTAACTGACTGAGCCACCCAGGCACCCCTGGTTTTCTTTTTCAAGGTTGCTTTGGGTCTCTGGAGACTGTTGTGGTTCCGTACACATTTTAGGATTTTTCTAGTTCTGTAGAAAATGGTGGTGGTATTTTGATAGGGGTTACATTAAATGTGTAGATTGCTTTAGGTAGCATAGATATTTTAACAATGTTTGTCAAAAACAAATGAACATAGGAGAAGGGGGGAAAAGAGGAGAGAGGGAACTGAACTGTAAGAGACACAGACAGAGAACACACTGAGGGTTGATAGGGGAGGGGTGGGGAATGGGCTACATGGGTGATGGGCTTTAAGGAAGGCTCTTGTTGTGATGAGCACTGGGTGTTGTGTGTAAGTGATGAGTCACTGAATTCTACTCCAGAAACCAACATTGCACTGTATGTTCACTAAAATTTAAATAAGAGAAGAAATTTCAACAACAGATCAAAAACAATAAATAGAAATAAAGGGAACCCACGAATCTGAGACAGTCTGAAACAAAGAGGTTTGCCCTGCTACCAGATGGGAAGATGGAGAAGAGAGGGAGCTGAGCGGTCCGGTCTGGAGGCCACGGCCTGAGGATCCACTGCCTCGCCTTCCCAGGTAGGCTGGGCCCTAGGGGCCCACATGCGAGTTGTGGGGCTAACCGTGCACAGAAATTGGCTTCTTCAGGACACAAGCTTGCCTTAGGAAGATTAAACACTATGCGGAGAGGGAGTGAGGGGGAAACAGACTTCTTCCACACCACGCGTGGCACTGCCATTCTCCAGCCGGCGTGGTCAGAAGCACCAGGCGTGGGCAGCCACAGCCAGGCCTGCGGGAATGTTCCCCGCGCCTGCGGTCCGGGGCCAGGTGCTTGCGGCGCTTCCCTGCCCCGGGCTGAGGCTCCACGCTGGTGTGGGGTCTCGAGCTGACACGGAGGGCCAAGCGTCCTTGCAGGGTCCGACGTGGAGCGACAAGGCGCGGTCATGATTCATGGCACCGAGAGCAGGCTAGCTGCTCGCAGATTCCGGAGAATTAATCTGCTCGGTTACAGCCCACACTGGCTTCCAGCCGGACTCGCAGCTACTTCCTCCTAGGACCTCGAGGCCCGCATTCGGATGCGTCAGGTGTGGGGCGGACCGCGGTGCAACAGACAGAGACGCATCCCAGTCCTTCCGAAATGAAATCCGAGGGCTTCATGTGGGGTCCGGACTCAGAACCCCTCTCTTTTTAAGGCAGCTCAGGTCACTTTCTTTTAGTCCTTGAAGCTGGCTTTAAAACCCCGTCCAGCTGCTCTTTTATTCCGAGGGGCTGCTCTGTATGCTGGGGCTGTATGGAGGCCGTCCCTGCAGGAGGCCACGGCCGGGCTGGGGACATGTGCAGCCCTCCCTCCTGGGTGGCTGTCCGTGTGGACGATGGTTGCCGGCCGTTGTCCCGAGCCGGCAGGATCCTTGGATAAAATGCTACGAGGAACCTCTCTTGTTTTATTACATGATGACGCCCTCTGGACCACTGTCTGTGAGGGAAGAGGAGGGACAGGAGGGAAGCCTGATCAGGTCTTCCCTACACACGGAGTTTAAACCACGCCGGGGGAGCTAGCTCAGAATCCCACTTCACCTGGAGCCAGTCCGACACTTGAGGAGGTCAAAACAACGCTTAAAAACGTCCAGAACTAAATTCGGGGAGTGATGGATTTATGAAGTCAGGTCAGTTGTGTGACGTGGATGGCTAATGTCCCCCTTGCTTGTCAGGATTATGATAATAAGGTATTTGCAGTGTGTGCAGAGAGGGAAGTTTCCAGAACTCAGTCCGTGGTCTGTCGTGAGCGCTGGGGACACACGGAGCACCAAACAGAACCTGCATTGATAAAGCAGATCTGTGTGGGCCGGGAGGGCGGGGTGGGTGTGTGAGTCATTCCTTACTTTATGAAGGGATTTATTTAAATCCCCCCATATCTAGGAAGCTTCCTCTAGTGCATTTAAAATGGAACCCTCTCTTTTAAAAATCCCATCTTGCTGACAACATGTGAAATTCGAGGCGGACAGACCTACCGCGTGTGGTGCTCAAGTGGAAAAGCATGTAAACTGTCACAAAAAAAGAACACAGAAAAAGATTCCCATACAGAAGACGGAGCAGGAGCAAGATACAGGGGCGGTTTCCGGTGTTTCCCGCCCGAGAAGCGTCACAGGCTCCGCGCTCTGCGGACCAGCGCAAGGTGTGCTCCCCGGATGCGGCTGCACAACCGGGGACCCAGCACCACGGCCCCCTGCAGGCCGCCCGCCCCTCCCCCCCGATGTCTTCCCCGCGGCCCTGCACGGTCGGCTAGTGCGCACACCCGGGCCCCATCCAGTGCGGCGCTCGATGGATATTCATCGCCGTTAGTCTCTACTTCACTCAGGGTCCATTGGTTCCCAAGTTTACGCACCGGCTAAATACATTTTTTAAGACCAGGGAGGTTTTTAAGCCCTAGATAAAAAGTATTAATCGTTAAACAATGAACATCTAGAGAACACTAGTATGATTAAAGTATTAAAATTTGTTGTTTTGTTGTTGTTTTTTTTACAGCGAAAGGATGGATTTGAAGTTTAAGGAAACCAAGCTCTTGATGGGCTTAGCTTCGAGCTCTCTTGCAGTTTGCTCCCTGGCTGCGGGCTCATGCGGACTGTCCACCCACTTCGGCCAGCCCAGCCCCCTCGCAGGTGCGCACGAGCGGGGGGTGGGGGGGTGGGGGGGGCGCGGCAGGGGCCTGCGCGTGCGCACTCCTCCGCACGACTTCCAGCAGCCCGTTCCGTGGTGAGGCTGAATACACGTAAATGAGTTTCGTTACAGACTTTTTTTTTTTTTTTTTAAGATTTTATCTACTTGACAGAGAGAGA